TTTAAAGGGAGATAAATAATTTTCATATTCCGACTTTTAAAAGCTTACTTGGTCCAGAGCCTTCCAAGTAACTCAGGTCATCAACCAAGCTATTTTTTTTCCCCGTTGAAAGACTGGTTCAAACTTGAATGTTTAGCTAACCCCCTCATAAACTTATACTTGTCTAAATATTATTCTTAACTTTCAAGTGCTGGAGTCACTAGAGGGCTTTTCAGTCTTTTACAAGGGAGAGTGGTTGCACTGCTTGCCCAGGCTCATTGAGGAAATGGGAAATACCAGTAGCCATTTACACAGATTAAATCTCATTGCATCGCCATTGTTCGAGCTGCAGTACAGGCTGTTCCATTCCACAGACTCCAGGCATCCACATAGTACAAGGGTCAATAGAACTCAGAAAGCAATGTTTGTTTAGGTATTTTAATGAATCTGTTGAAGCACTGTAACCCTTGCTTCAATTTGATTAAGTTGCTGCTCATTTCTCTACTAAAAGGTCTACAAACCATCTAGAAGCCTCATTCATTTTTTTTCTGTATTCTGAAAGCGGATGAATGAGAAATTGTAAGGGCTCCTTATACTGTAGTCAACATATCAAAATTACAGCCAAATCCAGCAGAATGACGGTATTTTTCTTACAAATTAAAATTTGGTGTTCAGGGGAAAAAAAAACAAAAACAAGCTTCTGATTTTCAAAAGCTTACATTTTTCTGGGTCTTTAAACGAATCTCAGAGCAAAATCTTAAAAAGATAAGAAAATGTGGCACAAAGGGTTGACCATATTTTTGGTGAGATTTGGTAAACACCACTGACTGTCTTGGGGTTTAATCAGCGCAATGCTGTAAGCTGGATGTTGAGGAGAGGACTGAGGGCAAAGTTCTCAAGATTTCTGTTTTTGCATTTCAATTTTAAATTAAACTTAAAAGGGACCTTAACCACTTTTAATTAGTATACAAAACATCTGCAGTATCACAGGTTATTAACTACTAGTTTCAATAAAAAATAGTAGTAGTGTAAAAAGGGACATTTCTGTAAAACAGTGTAAGAATGTAAGAAGCATAAGACAAGATGAACTTTAATGTCCCCTAGGAACACACATCACATCTATTGCATGTACGTAACTCATAACAAAAAAAGTCACGCACAAACGGTTTATAGTGACGCAATTGCATTTACCTTTGGCATCTGAAGTAAGCCAGTAATACAATCGGTCAAAAATAGGCAATAAGGAGGCCTGTACAGTCTGAGCTGTACCTTATCGATTTGCAAACCTTACCGAATTGCATGCGCCAGCCTGCTCCACCTTGCTGAGCCCAGAAAGGTGGGTCTTGAAGACGTTCATCTTCTCCACCAGAGTGGTCAGTGCGGTCTCGGTGGCCTCTCCCACTTTCTCGTATACCCCCTTGGACTGCAGAAGACAAAGAAGGCTTGCGCCAGTCATGCCAGAGGCCAGGGGGGACATTGTGGAGTAAGACACAAGACACAGCACACGGAAGGTTGCAGGGGAACCAGACGAGCTGAAATTGTTCCTCTGAGACAATGACACAGAAATCTGCAGTCTTAGTGCGACGCACCGTGGAGATGTTTCCTGAAATATAAGGGATACGTCTGCCACATTCAATTAATTTAGAGAGGCAAGAACGCCAGACCAAGACTGCAGTAGTTTCAGATTCCTCTATCAATAATCACCACTATAGAGCACCAAACAGAGCACAATAAACTGAATTTGAAAGCTCACGGCAAATGAAATAATTTACTATAAAAACAGCACTAAATAGAGATAAATACACTGAATTTGAAAGCTCACAGCACATAGAATAATTTACTATATTTTATTTATTACTATATTATAAACAATTAAAGAATAAACTAACAAGAGACTAAGTAGCATGGATTGTCTATAAGTATCTGAGTTCGTTTTATGCAATCATATGAATAAGAACAACTCAGAGCTGGCAGTATTGGGCACAACTCTTTTTAGTGGAAGTGGGAAAATAACAGGAAACATATTCAAATAGACAAAACCAGATAAGAATTAAAATAACTTGCTGTTCACCCTACGAGCACACTGCAACTGTTTGTAGTCAACCCCCTACCTGAAGCTTAACAATGTCAAAGCATGTATTAAGAATAGAACTTGTAAATTTTAGATAAACCTGTATTTGTCTAGAAGGTGTAACATGGACAGGCCATGCCCCAACCCACATTTGTATTCCCTGACTGAACAAAACATGAAACAGCATGCAGGACCCATATGTTTAATTTCATAAAGAGAAACGATACTGGTCTGAAACTGAACCAGAATTGCTTTTACAATGTTAACATGTACAATGTATACAAATAATATAATGTAATGATCAAAGGCAACAAGTAGAGTGCTCTTTTGTCAAAATGTACCCAAGAGCACTCACGGTGTTTTTATGATGAGGTTATAACTTTCGTCTTCCATTCAGACTGACTGGTGGAGGTTACAGATCTGTATGAATGTGCATTGCTTGACAGATCGCCCCTGTTCAACAGCTTGGCGCCGTGTGTAAACAGTGCAGTGTTTTTCTTAGAGATGCACTACTCTGCATAGCAACCCCACACAGATGTGTAAAACGGCAGTGTAGCATCCCAGCTTACATTCATCTCAGACTCCCTGTTCGAAAAATGCAGAAACATGCTCAGAACCCCTTAACTGTTAATGTGCAGGGGCCTGCCTTAATAATACTACAGTATCTTTGGTTGTGTCTTGCATTAGGACATTTATTTATGTTTAAAGAAAGACAGACTCCATTAACTTTGCTTTTTATGGTATGTCCTTGTGCAGTTCAGAGAACTGGGCTGCAGTATTTCTACAGTGCTACATGCTACAGTGGTAGCTTTTAAGTCACTCTCTGACTCGAGCAATTTAATTCATAAAATGGGCAATTCAAATTCAAAGCCACCCTCCCCGGGTTCTGCTAAAAAACCCTAATATTCTCACTGTTATACCTGTACAATCCTCTGAAACCCAATAAGAGCCAGCCCTGAATTTGCTGAGAAAAGTTCTAACTGTAAGTATTCTCTTTTCTACTAGAGAAATAGATTTACACTGCAATGTGTTTTTGACTTACAAAGACAGACATCGAGCTGGGCTTTGGAGTGTGAAGATGAACGACCACATTCCCTACAGCTTTTTTTACACAATCTGTTCCGTCAGTGGCCCAGTTTTTTTTATTTCTCAAGTGGATATAACCCAAAACATTTAGACCTGTGGTTAAGGTTAGTATTGACCTAATTTCTGGGTTTCGTATCATTCAGGTTTGTAGAATGTGAGTAATTTGGGAACTTTGCAGAGTAAAGTTTAAATAAGGGTGACACTACTTAAAGTACTTGAGAAGGTGAAGTGATAATATTGCTATTGCAAAGGGAGTTAGAAAAGAAACCTGTGGCCAACCCAAACAGTGGATGCAGAAACAGTTTACAAGGGTCTTTTCAAACAAAATAAAAATTACAGGCATCAATTAACCTCTCTGATTAAAGATCACATGAGAACTATTGGTTTAAATGACAGCTTGGACTAGCACTGTGAAAGGAGTGGCTGACTTATCCACAAATCCCCACTGTCTTTTAAAGTGCAATGAAATGAATGGTATATGCGGACCAGAAGAAAAACACGTTGTGAAATGATCCAGAAAGAGGACCAGGTTGACCAAGGGTGGGTGTTGATTATCTAAACACGCCCAGAGAGAACACAGCCATGACCGGAACAGTGCTTGCTCTGGAATTAGCAAGATACATCAGATACATCTATAGTGTGCCATTCCCAAAAAGCTCACTGAACATGTTCAAGATTTAAGAAGCAAAGATGTACCAACAAAACTTAGGTCTGACTTATACACCTTCACTTGTTACTGCATAAATGATGCTAAATGGTAATCAAAAGTGTCACTCTATTTAATTCTTTTGTAATTTAATTGCAGCCAATATACAGATAGCAGTATTGAATTTGAGTTTTTTTAAGGCTCCAGCACAGAATCACTGCATAGGTCCTGCTGCAGGGAAGCCTAATGTCCCACAGATCCCTAGTGCAGACGTTTGTGGAGAGGAAAGGCTTACCTCATTGTAATCCAGAGAGGAATCGTTACACAGTGCACAGATCGTCGCCAGCTCCACCAGGCCATCGTAATCCCCACACTGCACCGGTTGGTCTCCCTTCAGCCTGCAAAGATAAAACCATATACCAGTCACATACAGACAGGAGGGGTCTCACGTCAGAGGTGTATCTACAGTATGCATACTGTGTACAACATTACCTATATAATGTCTTCTTAAGGCTGTACAGTATTCATTAGGTGCACCAGAGATATTCTTACTGGGTATTGTCACACTCACCATCGCTGTAACCTTTTAAATGACCCTGAGAAAATCCTTCCCATCTGGCTGGAGATTCAAGCATATTTTAACTCACTTTTAATCCTTCACACTGGCATCTACAGCAAGGTGTTTCAGTGTTGTTGTTTTTGTTATTTAGGGGATTACAGTGTCCAACCATTCTAGAATCACATTTCATGTTTGCACTCAAGCTACAGTTTTCCTCCTGTTTTTAGATTACTGTGCAGAACCTTGTTAAGTCAGTCCCCAGAAACATTTAATTGGATGCAATACCATAAATCCCAGAACAGGAGTATTGTAGTTAATGTAAACAGCTTGGCAGAGATATCCACTAGAATTTTTCATGCATGTCTATGGTTTAATATACTATTTTGACATTCTGAGATCATACAGGACTGCTGGGAACCTAGCACTACAAGAACTCTGTCAGCCTCACAGCCCATACAGTATATATTTTTTAAACTTTTTTAGTCACCGCAGCTGAAAGCAGAATTAAATCTTATTATCACTGACAAAAATGACTACAAAGGCACAGATCCCACACATAACTGCAGCCGAACTACTGCACAGAATCCTTTAAAATCTACTCATGTTAATCCCATAACTAACACTTGTCATTCTCTATGTCTTAAATCTCAGTCAAATGACTGTAGTTTTGCAGTTGTCTACTTATATAAATATATAAATATTGACTAATGATGTGGCAATGCAGGGATTCAACTTACCTTCATTGTATTCACAAGTAATTGTCTGTGTCCTTGGAATTATTTAGAGCTTTAGATTTGACATTCTTTGCTTCACACACACACCAGGCTGTTTTGATACTGTAGACTAGGATACATACACTCTGATCGCTTGCAGGGTTAGCAGTCACCCTTACTCGGAGAAATAAACTGAAACTCTATGTTCTTTGGATATAAAAAAAAGGCTCAGTTCAAGAACACACCATGAGAACCCACTGCCTAGCCCTGTGGTTTCAAGGCAGATTCCTATCAGAGCAGTAAATTCACCAACGTTAAAAGGAGAAGCATAAAGGCCAATAAAATAACCATTCATACATTGGAGGACAGGCACCTATATATAAATAATTAAAATACTGGTCCATCAACACCACTTTACAATTTGCTGGTGTGAGCGGTGTTCATGGAACAGTAGGTGGCGCTGTTCCCCTTGGACAAGAATTTCCAAACGGATGCTCCAGAATGGCGGCCAGGAACACTGCGCTGTAGGAGGTGCTGTCGCTCAGCTGAGACACTAAACCGAAGTCCTCACTATGTGGTCATTAAAAGTGCCGTGGTACTATTCGTAAGAGTAGGGGTGTCAACCCTGGTGTCCTGGTTAAATTCCACTGGGGGCTTGAACAATCTAATGCTCCCCCATTCAATTAGCAAAAGAATGTCTCACATAATGATTTTCCCACATCACCCAGGTGGGTACAGCATCCCAAGATCCTCTGAACTTTATAAATGTAGAACTTTGTAATGTAATTAAGAACTTCATAAATGTATTTACCTATTATTTAATAACAAAGGGGAAAAAGACTGATGTTACAGACTACAGCTTTAAGGAACTGCGCACAGACAGCTTTTAGTTGCCTTTGCCCCAGACATTTATTTAAGCCAATTTGTGAAACAGAAGCAACTCCAGTCAGAAAAAATGAGTCTGCAAGTTGTCATGGAATTCTGGATTAGGCTTTTAGAAAGACGGTGATATGATATAAAAGCAAGACTTCTCTTTTCCAGCAGGGTGTTGAGAATAAATCAAGACTGGAGGAAAGAAAAGATCTACAAGAAGGCCAAATGCAGTGAATTTGGAACTGGAAAATTGTGATGAATGGCAACAAAAAGCAGTAAAAAAAAAAACATGGTGAAATTACAGAATAATGACTCCTCGTAAAACACGTATCAAAGTCAATGCTCCTCTCTCACTATGCTGTCTTTCAAAGTGCAATGAAATATATTCCCCTAGTCACATCTCATGCTAGTGGTCCATGATCGTAAGAGGTGATTGTCCATACTGGAGGTGTATATTAATGACATCACTAGATTACCCAATCAAAGGACATCCTACACAACTAGAAGACGTACTTACTAGAGCCAGAACTACCCGAAGAACCTGCTTGAAGGCAATCATTGTTAAAAGGCCATGCAGTTTAAGGAGAGCAGGAGTGGAACAAATGAATTGAGAGACTAGAACTGCTAGAACTGCATCAAGCTAATATTTTAACTGGTCCTAATGGTGTCTTTCTCCAGGAGGATGTTGGAACAGCACTTAAAAAGGGCTTCAAGAACACGTTTTGATCAAGCAGCACTTTGTGGGAAGAAATGAATCCCCTTGCTTTGGTGCCACGAGGCAGCATATGAGGCAAAGAGAGCTTTCAGGTCCTGGCCTGGTAGTGTTGAGCAAATGCAAAAACTGTTCTGAACTGATATGACAACTCGTTTGCATCAGTGTATTACTCTGGTAACTCATTTTTGTTTCCTTTGCCTAATTAACCAAATTGGAATGATCTAACTCCCATTTGGGTTGCTACGCTCCAGTGCTTCTAACTGCCAGAAATAGAAGCAGAAGACCCTGGGCTGTAATTGTCTGCTGGCGTGACGAATACTCACACTTGACCTTCAGGGGCGTATGTGGAGCCGGTGATGGAGAACTCATGCAGGGTACAGCTGGAATTGTCAGCTTTGTCCACCACGAACATCTGAGGGAAGAGAACAGAGGGGGTTTGTCTTACACTATAATACAATCACACTCGATCAGGGTTTAATATACTACAAGCAGTCCCGTCTACAGTATGAAGCGAGCAATACTAGCAGCATTTGAATAAATCATAACATTTATTCAGGGATGCCTGACGAAAGTGAAAGTTATGACACAAGAGTGACAGGGCCAAGGAAGGTGAACCCTAAAGCTAAAGAGGCACGTAGTTCTGCTATGAGTATATTCTTTTCATCTTTTTAAATTTTAATTCCATCAAGTAGTGTCCTGAATTCCAACCATTCCACAAGGCTATATATTATTGAATCAAGCACCATTTCTCAGGAGGGAATATGTAATGACACTGGAGGGCACAGTCTCCAGAAGTTACAGCGAAAAAAGAAAGGGAGTGCTGCAAATCTCCTTAGCATACCCATTGATGAACTCTCATAAAAAGACTCTTTTCACAATTTAAAAAACAATCAGAGAGTCTGTACAAATAACAAAAGCAAGATTATAAAACAGATAAACAGGCTGCTCTGAAGGCCTTCAAAAGATGGTCTTTTCACCTAGAAATGATGCTTCACATTTTGCCATGTCCCTAAACAAAGCATCAATACCATGAGAGCAATAGAACAAAATGACAAACAACCAGATTTATTTGTCCTTTCAGAGCTGTCTGACCTGCTGTCTCAGAACCTGGCAGTGACACAGAATCTCATTTGGGATGGATAGGAAGAGGAAAAGGGAAATGGAAAAGTCTGGCTGGCCCAGGGCACTGGGGACTGTGTGATTGAGGGTTAATAACAAGAGACTTTTCCTGAGTTCTCAACACATCAGTGCCATGCTTGAAAGGCTCCACCTACCAAAGGGGTTTCCCCTGTGGTCACAGCCAATCAGAATCCACCTGATGTCATCCAGGATGAGGCTTTATTCCCCAGCATGGTAAACAGCCAGGAGCTTCCCTTCCACTGACCCAGCACAAATCCTCTTCCACACTTGATCTAAGCCAGTCTTAAAGAGGAAGCATGTACAGTAGGTCTTCTCGTTAAGATGAATGCTTATTCAGGGAACTCCTGCCAAGCAATGTGCCTCACAGAAAGGACACTTTTTTGGAGGTCAAACTAACCAAACCTTCTTGCATTACAGTCATTAGACAATACATTCTAGTTTGAGGCTCTCTTGGACAATTCTTGAGAGGGATATTTTAATATCCCATCTGGGGGTAAAAACATTTTAATGCACTGAAAGCAGGGCCATAAAGCATCTGCACTTTTCTCTATCAAATCAAGTCAACATGAATTAATGAAAATTAAAATTAACTAATGAAAACTTTGGCTCTGGCAAACAATTCCTGACACTGAACTTTGAGAAACTGATTTTAACTGCCATATAATCACAGCAGAAATAATATCTGAGCAAGTAAATCAATGTGTGACAACACAGCCTCACTTGGAGTGTGTGCTCCTCAAAGCTGTTCTCCCTGTGCTTTGACTGAAAATTAAATTAAATGTGGAAGAACGCTATCAATCACTTGATAGCACTTATGCCCCCCACAAATCAACCTAAATTACTGTGCAAGTGACTTACTGTATCTAGCCGAATCAGGCTGGGTTTTAAATTAAACCTAAGCTGATGCACTGTGAAGTTTACCTTGTAAGGCCTGTTGCCCTGTGAATTAATCCCATATCGCTTTCATTTGTTAAGGCTCTGGCCACAATAATTAGAAACTGGTAAGCACTGTTACTCCCGGGTTCTGCCACATCTGCTTTATCAGTAAGGGCATTGAGACCCTGGCTGATAGACTGATAAACTACTCAATTGTACCAAAGCAATTGCTTGTTGCAGGTTGAATTAATAAGGCTTTGTGACACTCTGGGCTTTCCTGAATTATTAACCAACAATGTCTTTAATGCTATTTACACAGTGTGCATATTTCCCACAATAAAGACAGGAAGTAGGCATTCTTTTCTGGGATATATAAGATAGTCCTCAAGGTAAAAACAGCAGGGGAACTGAATTGGGCTGTGGCAGAGTAATGAGTGAATATCTGGATTCCCACTGGAGTAGTGATGCAGAGATGAGGGAGTCCCCAGTTTCTCAAAGGAAAGGGATCATTTCAAGGAAGCCTATTTTTTTGGGACTTTTTGTATGTACAAAATTAAATGCATTTATTTAAAAAGAATATTTTTTCTGCTAACTAGAGGAAATCAACATGTAACAAAAGTCCCCTACTCCTTGCCCAATTAAAGAACTGGATACATACTTCCTAGATTATTACCTTATAGCATGGAGGAGGATATCAACAATTGATGTACAGTAAGACTAAGTCATATGAAATGAGCAGAACATACACCATCTGCAAGAATTCATTGGACACTGTCAATGGTTCAGCAAAGGACCTCATCAGCATATCAAGACCAAAATCTACACAAACACTTATGATTCTCTACATATGTCTATGCAGTGTTAAGAGGAAGACTACATAACATGGTTGCTAGTGGTTTATAAATGTTTTTTTCTATAACCCTGGTTCAGTTTAGATATACCCTTTAGACTGACAGGTATACTGTACAATATGCTTTTTGTGAAAATCCTGACTAATGGCACTAGCAGACCTTACTGTCTTGCATGTTCCCAGAGAAATCAAGTAACCAGAAGAAATTACTCATTTATGTAGTGTTTGTTCCTTATTTATGAAGCTTTCCTTGAAGTATCCTGATCATCAGTTCTCCTTAAAGTGAGATGTTGTTGTCATCCTTAACAACATAACATCCTCACAGTCCCTGCAGCCACTGAGATCATTCTCTGTAGTAAATCACTGCTCAGAACCCTCAGTGCACTCCATTCATCAGGCCAGCTGGACTCGGCAACACGTTATTCCACGCTGAGTGCGTTCACTAGCTTGCTGCAGCTATCCAGATCAATATTCCATTTCAATAATCGACTGGCTTCCACGCTGCCTCTCCAAAAATAAGAAATAAGGAAAGAGGGTCAGTTCGCCTGGGTACTCTTTATGCAAAAAGCACAAAAAACTTTGGTATTGGTGGAAAATGCTTAAAGTAGAAAAAACTGCTGTCCCTTGGCTGGGATCATTCACTTCAAAGCTGTGGTACAACCAAGCTGCTTAGTTAATGAAATTGCCTTCCAGCAGAATTTCTCCTTGTAGTCTCTTCTACAGTATACAGAATTCTCACCATAAAGGACACTAGTCCTTGATCTGCACTTTACAATCCCTTCAATATGACTCCATATACTGGTGGTTTAAAAGCCTGGATTCTAACCAGAGCTGTTCGACAGAGAACAACCATTCACAATCCCAGCCACCACAGACACTCCTGTATAAGAGATTGCCCAATGTGCCCCTTTCTGTCTTTGTTTTCTACTTCAACAGGCACAGCATGATTAAAATTGCATTCTGAAAAGCTTTAAACCAACACATAGAATATCATGTCCCATGCCCTGGTGTCCACTGTGGTGTAAACAAAGTGTGAATTAAATGTGAAATAAATTGACAAAGCTATATGAAATCAAATTCAAGGGGCCTTTGACTGTGCTGCTAGAACCCCCACACTTCTTCCCCAAAATACAAGCATCTTCAAGTGACTGTATCTAAAGCTCTGTTCAGGTTGCATATCTATGAAAACTGCCATTTCACACCCAAAATAAGCCTCTTAATATTTTACACTTTTCATTAGTGGGTGTTTAAAGTCATCTGTGGCTTTTGCTGCTTGAAAGAAAAATGTTCTTCTTTTCTCAAATGTTGTAATGATTTTACTTGTCTGTTATACTGACAAGGAGGCATTTATTACTGGCTGTGATAATGGCTATAGACTTCTGGGACTGAAGAATCTCTGGGGATCAGGCACCAGAAAATGAAACAGTGTAAGATAAGAAAATGATTTGCGCTGGCTATTACTTCTGTGAGACGTGGGAGTCTGTGATGACTTTTTTCATAAGCTGTGCTTTCACAAAAACATTCAGCAGAAATTGCTGTTGAACAAATTTAATTTAAACTTCTTTATGATGAATTCATGCCTGAATTTCTCACTATTATAAAAGTAGTTACATGAGTTGCATGCTCTCCTCGTTGTAGGAGCAACTTTAGCAAACCTTATCAAAAACATAAGGATGAGTCCTGGATGTCTGCTCCTTATATTGTAAGGACTGCCTGTCAGCTTGGAAACCTACTGATTATATCCTCAATGTCTGGAAAGGAAAAACTAATTCTTAAAAAAAACAGCATTCTACCCAAAGAGACTACATTTTATTCCAAGGACGTCCTGTATGACTGGATTAAATATCCGAAATGCACCGCCTTACCAAAATATTAGAGAATGGTTTGTTTCATTGACATAATCCTTCCTGTCCAACGTAGTAAGAATGGTGCAGCACATGATATAGCCTATAAATCCTATTGTCTGTAAAGCAGCAGCAGACCAGACCTTTGCCTCAGTGTGCCATGTTAAAGGAAGGAAGGGTGATGTCAGTGATCTCACAAGAGGCATGACTGTTCTTGTATCTCTCATGGCAAGAACACACCAGACAAATTCACAAACAGTAGCTAGTGACAAAAATAAAACACCAGCAGGAAGCAACACAAGAACCTACTGCATCACCACCTCACATCTCACGAAGAGCTGAATCGACTGCTACAGGCTAAGTGGACACATATCTCCATGTACATCCATGAACACGTACTGGAACCAGTGAAAGATGTTGTAGCTGTAACTGCTGCCGGAGACTGATACTTCCGTTATTCAGAATTGCGTATACAGTATGTATGCATGAATTAGCATGAACTGATGCAGCATGCGTACAGAACTTTGCACATTTTCCCACAGGATATTCATTATATGGGCAACACGATGGCAGCACTGGGGTCCTGGGTTCCATGCGGGAACTGAGATGCTATCCGTGTTTGCGTGCGTTTCCTCCCACAGTCCAAAAACATGTCAGTAGGTTAATTTGCTTCTGGAAAACATGGCCCTGGTGCGATATGGT